GCACTTGACGCTCGCTCTGGGGTGGGGGTCCCCAGAAGTCACGGTGATGGCACGGTGGTGAGGGCACGGGAACACAACAACCTCCCTTGCAGAGGGGGGAGAGGGAAAGCATCCAGGGGCGCCGCCCCCGGCCGTCAGTAGTGTCAGCTCAGTAGTCGGTCTGCGGGAAACTGCAGCGGCGCATGCGCAGGGCCGGGCCCGGGCAGGGTCAGTAGTGCTCCAGCTTCAGGCTCTTGTACAGGCAGCACGTGAAGATCATGCCGAACACCTGCGGCACAGAGCCGGCTTGAGAGGCCGCTCACCGGCCTCCTCGGCCCCACCCCTTGCCCCCGCCAGGGCCCGCCCCGCCCCCAGCCCGCACCTGCACGCAGGCGATGCCGAGGCCCACGGCCCCGATGACCCTCAGGTGCTCCTGGATGAAGGTCTCCAGCTTGGTGATGCAGCCGCCCTGGCGGGTGGGGGTGGGGGTGGGGGTGGGGGCGCTGAAGGCAGGCGAGTCCTCCAGCTGCCCCCGGCAGCGGCCCCAGGCCCCTCCAAGGTGTGGGGTGGCCACCAGGCCCAGCATCCCTCGCAGGGCGCTCCAGGCCCCGCCCACTTACCTCCACCTTGTAGATGTTGGAGGCGTGATCCCGCTGGCCGCAGTTGGCCACCATGGTCTTGCAGCAGCTGTCCGGGACTGCGCGGCCATTCGCCTCCTCGGAGCGGATCCACTCGCTGTCCCGCCAGTCCTGGGAGTTGTTGCTGCCACAGCAGCGGAACTGCGGGCGAACGCGGGAGGGCTGAGTCCCCACCCACCCCCCTGCACCGGACTCCTGCGGGCGCTGTAAGGGCCCTCCCAGAGCCGCGCACCCACCTCCTGCTGCAGCTTGTCCACGGCGCTGGTCACGCCCTCGTGCCCCGGCTGGCGGTACCGCTTGGTCATGGTGTCCTTCAGGTTCTCCTTGAGTTCCATGTTCAGCTTGGGGTGAGGTGGTGACAACTTCAGCCACAGTCTAAGACCCTCCAAGTTGGGGCAGAACAGGGGCGAAGCAGGTGCTGGGAGAGGCGTGGGGCGGCCTCCAAGGGAAGGAAGGGCCACGCTCAGGCGCAGACGCTGGCTGGACTGGGCGAGCCACCAGGCGGCCACAGGGGAGCGGGTGCGGGGACAGTGCCCGCTCCGAGGGACACCGCCTGCCCCCAGAAGCCCCTACAGCACACACCACCCCCCTCTGGTGACCCAGCCCTCACCGCCAGGGCCTGAAGGCACAACGGTCAGCTCTGTGGCTTGGGGAGGGGGGTCCCCGTGTGGCCTGCCCAGGCCCCTCACCTGCTGGTAGTAGACGTAGGCAAGGACGCCAGCAACAATCTCCAGCAGGAAGATGATGAGGAGTAGGATGAAGTACTGGGGTAGGGGAAGGACACAGTGAGCGGGGACACAGACACCCCCATTCCGTGACGATTCCTAGTGCCCAGGCTCAACAGAGTCCCCACCCTCCGCTCCCAGCGGCCTCCGAGTGGGGGAGTCCAGACAGCAGGTGAGGGCTTCCCCCAGGAGCTGGTGTCTCCCCCTGCTGGGGGCTCACAGGAGGGCGGGTCACGTGGGAGGGACACCCCAGGTGAACAGAGGCTCTGCTGCAGTGTCACGTTCGACTCCCATCTGTCCCTTCTAACCCACTCAGGGCCCCAGAGCCGGCCCCAGATAGCCCCCCAGGCACCCCCACCCCCAGCGCCCGCCATGCCCTGCTGACCAGGCACAGCAGGTTCCGCCGCTCTTTGAAGGTGGCACAGCAGCCCAGGATGCCGGTGACCATGACAACGACGCCAGCCACAACCAGGATGTAGGCTGTGGCCAGGTAGGTGCCCGAGGCCAGCAGGCTGATGTAGTCACTCTTCAGGGCCAGCGTCCAGATGCCCACAGCCATGACGGCCAGACCCGCTAGCTGTGGGCCGCACACAGCGGTCAGTTAGCACATGTGAGCCCCAGACCAGCGCTCCTTTCGGGGACCAGGGACGGGTGCCAAGTGGAGAAGGAGGGTCAGGGAGAAGGCGGGCCCCCCTCACCCAGAAGCAGCAGTTGAAGGTGAAGAGCAGGTACTTGAGGCAGACGGTGCCACAGGTCGCCTTCTTCTCGTTGAACTCGCCCATCCTGGAGCTGGGGGGCGGGGGTGGTCAGAGAGCCCCCCCACCAGGACCTGGCTGGGAGGGCGGCCAGACCCCAGTGGGGACAGAAGGAGGGGACACGGACTCCAACGCCCAGGCAGCCGCGGGCCCTGGGCAGGGGCCCTGGGAGAGCGGGCAGGTGAACCAGAGCCCCTTCTGGCCGGGCAGCCCAGGACCCCCCGCCCCCACTGCCACCAGGGCAGAGGCCAGGCCCCCGCAGCCCTGAAAGTGGGAGGGCCGGGCTTCCCTGACCAGACCCCAGGGCACGGAGGCACAGAGGGCCCCCAGCCATCACTGGCTGACACACTCCCACTGGCAGTGAGGGTAGGAAGCCCTAGCAGGCACCTAGGGTGAGCTCATGCCGGCCACGCCCCCCGCATTCCCCAGGCCCCAAGTCACAGGCTGGCAGGAAGAACCCTCGGCCATCAGAGGGGAGGAGGCCGCTCAGAGACAGACCAGCCTGCCCTTTACCTAGCCACGTGGAGTTAACAGAGGCCCCTCAGGCCTGCCTCCCTCCCAGCCAGAGCGGGGAGTGGGGACAGTGGCGGGTGCAGGTGGGCGGGGCTGGCAGGCACACCCCCTGGCCTGGGGTGTCCTCGTTGCTGGAAAGGGGGCAGTCACACTAACCCCGGCGAGGGGCCAGCCCCAGGCCTGCTCCTCCTCCAAGGCGCCCCAGCCGGAGCGGTGACGGCACAGGAGGGTGGGGGAGGCTGTGGGACCAGACAGCAGCGCCCGGAGCCACCTTTCCAGACACAACACCCACAGCTGGACTTGTGCAGCCCCACCCAGCACTCACCTGGCTGGCGGGAGGACGGGTGGACAGAAGTTCCGCAGGAGGCTCCGCTAGAAGGGCAGGCACGGGTCACAGGCCTGGCCCACTGTGGACCCCGCCACCCCTCCCGTTGGCCGCCCCAGGGCCAGGACCTCCGGCGCAGGAAACGGTCGCTCCCAGCAGCAGAGGGGGAGTGGCCTGCCCGGTATTTTAGTCTGGGCCAGCAGGGGCAGGGGAGAGGACACTCCTGGACTGTCTGACCCTGACAGGAGCCTCAGGCCTCCTCTGAGTGCCACGCCCTAGGCCTTAGCACCAGACCTGTCACTGTCCCTTTCCCCACCGAGCAGCGCTAGCCCAGCCTGGCGGGGGAGGGGAAAGAGGCGCAGACCCCGACCGCGGAGCGGGAGGTGTGGAGGCCCCACGCTCGGCACACGTGCCCCTGGGCCTGCTCCGAGGTCCCAGGCCTCCTGGGGACGCTGATCCGGCCCCCGCGGCCGCGCGCGGGCCACGCATTAAGAGAGGCCCCTCTTTCCGGGAGAGCCTGGCGGATATGAACCCCAAGGGAAAGGCCAGCTAGAAATAGTTCCTGCGGCCGGGAACAGAGCTGCCCCACCCCAGGGCCCTGGAATTCAACCGGGCCCTCGGCGGCCCACGCGCCAAGGAGGGAGCCCCGCGGCTCGGCCCCAGCCAGGCCGGGTGGGAATTCCGCGTCACCGTGATGAAGTGGCCGCCGCCGCCCGCCCACTTGCACCGGATGGCGGGCGGGCCTGCAGGCGGAGGGCAGGGGGCCGGCGTCCGGGGACAAAGAGCGGGATGCTCAGCTGGGGCCTTTGGCCCAAAGGGACCGCCCGGCCGCTCTGAAGACCCGGGAGGCACCCTGCCCTGCCCTCGCCCTGCGCCCCCCCTCCGCCCGCCTGGCCTCCTAATGTCCGCCTCCCACCGGAAGGGGCCTCGCTGGGCCGCCGAGTCCGCGCCATTCAGGACCTTGCGACTCTCGGCCCCAGCGTTTGGCCTGACCAGGCGGCGCACTCACCGGTCACACTTTGGAGTCCGGCGGGGGCGGAGGTTTGAGCACCGGGAACGCACGGCAGGCGGGAGGCTTCGTGGGAGGTGCAGGCGCCGCCGGTGGCTCGCTCCCGCCCGCAGACCCCGCCCACGGCCGACAAACCCCGCCCCTGCCTGCAGGCCCCGCCCATAGTCTATAAATACGGGCTCGTGGGTCCCGCCCCAGCCACCAGGTCCCGCCCACCCGAGCCGACAAACACAGACCTGCGGGTGCGCCCACCGCTAACAACCACGCCCCGGCCCGCAGGCCTGCCGGCCCGCCGGCCCGCCCACGGCCGACGAACCGTGACCCGAGGCCCCGCCCACGGCCTGCAGGTCTGAACAGGTGCCCTTAGGTGGCAGGCGGCATCCCAGCCAGTGCAGGCGGCTTTGGAGGCCGGGGGGAGCTGCAGCCCTGGGGCCCCCACAACCCGGCGAGGGCCCACACCCTCTAGAGACGGAGACAGAGGACCTGGGCTAGGGGGACGGGGCGACGGGGGCGCGGGGGGGGCACCAGCCCAGCCAAGGCCCCGGACTCTGTCCCAGGCCCCGCTGTCCTCCAGGCCCCTTTCGTCCGATGCTCCCAGCACAGGGACCACCGGAGGCTGCAGGGGTCAGCAGACTGGATGCCGGCCTGACCGGGGGAGGCCGAGGGCTCCCGTGAGAGACACTACAGCCGCGGGATCGGGCCTGGCAGTGGTGGGAAGGCTCGAGGGAGGAAATCCGCTGACCCGCTGGACTGGGGATCTGGGAGTGGGGCAAGGAGGGCAGCCGCCCAACCCGCCGGCTCATCCCAGCCCCAGGCCGGGTCTGGGTGGTGCCCTCTTCAGGGACGGTGGCCGCGCTCCTCCCAGCCCTGAGCACCCAGCAGCCCCCGGCATGGGAGGTGGCTCCAGGCCCTAGCCCAGGGTGCTCCACGAGTCAGGACTGGCCTGACTCCGGTGGCTCCCCCAGAGCCGCGTGAGGACTGGCGCGGGAGGAAGCCCTGCCCGGTGCCCCCTGGTGAGGCACGGGCCTCTGTCTTCTTGTCCCTATGGAGAGGGCTATGGGGCTTCGAGAGTTCATAGGGTCTGGCCGGAGACACAGAGACACCCACAGGCACAAGCAGGGACTGACAGCCCCGTGCGTACCCGGGATACCTGAGGCCTGTGCCCCGCCCCCACAGGAGGCCCAGAGGCTGTGGTGCAGATGGTGGAGTTTATCTGGAGGAGGGGACAGGGATGGGTTTGATGGGATGGAGACAGGACGAGAGCCAGAGGGCAGCACAGGGGCCCCACCGGCCACCCCGGGTCAGTGCCTTCACGTCCACAGCCAGGCGGGCTGGACATCCCCTGGGTAGAGCCCGCATCCTGGGTGGGCCGCTCCAGCCACGATCAGTCACTTTCAAGGGGCAGTCTTTCCAGGTTCACGCCCAGTGAGCTGGGGGGCCGGTCACCGCGCACTGGGAAGGTGGCCTGAGCCGCGTCTGGGGGGTCGGGCCCCGGTGCTGGAGCAGCAGCAGCAGCAGCAGCAGCAGCAGGTGGGCCCCGGCGGGCGGGCGGAGGCCAGAGCCTTCCTGCGGCCACTGCCCAGCTGCTTGATCTCACAGGCGTCCCTCTCGTCTCGTAGCCGCGTGTTCAGCTCCCTGAGGAAGAGAGTCCAAGGGCTGTGAGAGGTCTCAGGGGGCGGCAGTTCAGGGTGGGCAACGGGGGCTGGGGCTCTCCCTCAGACCCGGAGGGAGAGGGGCGTCTGGCTGGGGCCGCGGGCCGCAGGCGAGAGGACAGACACAGGAAGGACTTCCTCGCCATCTGCCGGCCGGGGTCGGGGCGCCTGACCTCCGCGTGACCGAACCTGAGGAGCTCCAGCTGCCGCAGGAGGCTGACCTTCTCTTTCTGCATGTTCCTCGAGACCGCAACCACATCTCTGCGGGCGGGAGGCGGTGACCTGGGTGCGGGGAGACTCCACGAGCCCCCGGAGGACCTGGGCCCACGCAGACCCTGGGGGCGGGGCTGGGACTCGGGTGCAGACGGAAGGGGCCCCGCCCGATCCCCAGCGCGACTCCCGCCTCGGCGCCCGCCCCCAGCCCCAGCCCCACGCCCCGGGCACCGTAGGGTTTGCTCCTGGCGGCTCTGCGCGTCGCCCTCCAGTCGGCGGAGCTGCTGCTGCGCGGCCTCCAGCTGCGCCCGCAGCGCCTCGTTGGCCAGCCACAGCTGGGCGTTCTGCGCCTGCGCCTCCAGCTGCTCCGCGGCCCGGGTCTGCAGCTGCTGCTCCAGCTGGGGGTCGCGAGGGCATCGAGGCTGCAGAGGGGCCCCTCCTCCCCGCGGTGCCGCTCGGCCCCGACTTCCCACAGCTGCCAGGCGGCGGACCCTGGATACCAGGAGGGCGGGCTGGGGGCGTGGGCCGCCCGGACGCTCACCTCCCGCTGCCGTAGGCCCGCGCGCTCCAGCTCCTGCTCGCGGCTCTGCAGGTCCAGCTCCAGGCGGCCTCGCCGCTCCTCCCGGGGCAGGTCCTGGGAGGCGCGGGCGGTTCCTGAGCCTCCGCGGGCGGCCGCGGGGCAGGGGCCGGGGGAGGGACCAACACCGGGGAGGCGGGGCCAGGAAGACGCGCGCGCTTGGGATTGGGCCCGCCTCCCCGGTGTTGGTCCCTCCCCCGGCCCCTGCCCCGCGGCCGCCCGCGGAGGCTCAGGAACCGCCCGCGCCTCCCAGGACCTGCCCCGGGAGGAGCGGCGAGGCCGCCTGGAGCTGGACCTGCAGAGCCGCGAGCAGGAGCTGGAGCGCGCGGGCCTACGGCAGCGGGAGGTGAGCGTCCGGGCGGCCCACGCCCCCAGCCCGCCCTCCTGGTATCCAGGGTCCGCCGCCTGGCAGCTGTGGGAAGTCGGGGCCGAGCGGCACCGCGGGGAGGAGGGGCCCCTCTGCAGCCTCGATGCCCTCGCGACCCCCAGCTGGAGCAGCAGCTGCAGACCCGGGCCGCGGAGCAGCTGGAGGCGCAGGCGCAGAACGCCCAGCTGTGGCTGGCCAACGAGGCGCTGCGGGCGCAGCTGGAGGCCGCGCAGCAGCAGCTCCGCCGACTGGAGGGCGACGCGCAGAGCCGCCAGGAGCAAACCCTACGGTGCCCGGGGCGTGGGGCTGGGGCTGGGGGCGGGCGCCGAGGCGGGAGTCGCGCTGGGGATCGGGCGGGGCCCCTTCCGTCTGCACCCGAGTCCCAGCCCCGCCCCCAGGGTCTGCGTGGGCCCAGGTCCTCCGGGGGCTCGTGGAGTCTCCCCGCACCCAGGTCACCGCCTCCCGCCCGCAGAGATGTGGTTGCAGTCTCGAGGAACATGCAGAAAGAGAAGGTCAGCCTCCTGCGGCAGCTGGAGCTCCTCAGGTTCGGTCACGCGGAGGTCAGGCGCCCCGACCCCGGCCGGCAGACGGCGAGGAAGTCCTTCCTGTGTCTGTCCTCTCGCCTGCGGCCCGCGGCCCCAGCCAGACGCCCCTCTCCCTCCGGGTCTGAGGGAGAGCCCCAGCCCCCGTTGCCCACCCTGAACTGCCGCCCCCTGAGACCTCTCACAGCCCTTGGACTCTCTTCCTCAGGGAGCTGAACACGCGGCTACGAGACGAGAGGGACGCCTGTGAGATCAAGCAGCTGGGCAGTGGCCGCAGGAAGGCTCTGGCCTCCGCCCGCCCGCCGGGGCCCACCTGCTGCTGCTGCTGCTGCTGCTGCTCCAGCACCGGGGCCCGACCCCCAGACGCGGCTCAGGCCACCTTCCCAGTGCGCGGTGACCGGCCCCCCAGCTCACTGGGCGTGAACCTGGAAAGACTGCCCCTTGAAAGTGACTGATCGTGGCTGGAGCGGCCCACCCAGGATGCGGGCTCTACCCAGGGGATGTCCAGCCCGCCTGGCTGTGGACGTGAAGGCACTGACCCGGGGTGGCCGGTGGGGCCCCTGTGCTGCCCTCTGGCTCTCGTCCTGTCTCCATCCCATCAAACCCATCCCTGTCCCCTCCTCCAGATAAACTCCACCATCTGCACCACAGCCTCTGGGCCTCCTGTGGGGGGGCGGGGCACAGGCCTCAGGTATCCCGGGTACGCACGGGGCTGTCAGTCCCTGCTTGTGCCTGTGGGTGTCTCTGTGTCTCCGGCCAGACCCTATGAACTCTCGAAGCCCCATAGCCCTCTCCATAGGGACAAGAAGACAGAGGCCCGTGCCTCACCAGGGGGCACCGGGCAGGGCTTCCTCCCGCGCCAGTCCTCACGCGGCTCTGGGGGAGCCACCGGAGTCAGGCCAGTCCTGACTCGTGGAGCACCCTGGGCTAGGCCTGGAGCCACCTCCCATGCCGGGGGCTGCTGGGTGCTCAGGGCTGGGAGGAGCGCGGCCACCGTCCCTGAAGAGGGCACCACCCAGACCCGGCCTGGGGCTGGGATGAGCCGGCGGGTTGGGCGGCTGCCCTCCTTGCCCCACTCCCAGATCCCCAGTCCAGCGGGTCAGCGGATTTCCTCCCTCGAGCCTTCCCACCACTGCCAGGCCCGATCCCGCGGCTGTAGTGTCTCTCACGGGAGCCCTCGGCCTCCCCCGGTCAGGCCGGCATCCAGTCTGCTGACCCCTGCAGCCTCCGGTGGTCCCTGTGCTGGGAGCATCGGACGAAAGGGGCCTGGAGGACAGCGGGGCCTGGGACAGAGTCCGGGGCCTTGGCTGGGCTGGTGCCCCCCCCCGCGCCCCGTCGCCCGTCCCCCTAGCCCAGGTCCTCTGTCTCCGTCTCTAGAGGGTGTGGGCCCTCGCCGGGTTGTGGGGGCCCCAGGGCTGCAGCTCCCCCGGCCTCCAAAGCCGCCTGCACTGGCTGGGATGCCGCCTGCCACCTAAGGGCACCTGTTCAGACCTGCAGGCCGTGGGCGGGGCCTCGGGTCACGGTTCGTCGGCCGTGGGCGGGCCGGCGGGCCGGCAGGCCTGCGGGCCGGGGCGTGGTTGTTAGCCGTGGGCGCACCCGCAGGTCTGTGTTTGTCGGCTCGGGTGGGCGGGACCTGGTGGCTGGGGCGGGACCCACGAGCCCGTATTTATAGACTATGGGCGGGGCCTGCAGGCAGGGGCGGGGTTTGCCGGCCGTGGGCGGGGTCTGCGGGCGGGAGCGAGCCACCGGCGGCGCCTGCACCTCCCACGAAGCCTCCCGCCTGCCGTGCGTTCCCGGTGCTCAAACCTCCGCCCCCGCCGGACTCCAAAGTGTGACCGGTGAGTGCGCCGCCTGGTCAGGCCGAACGCTGGGGCCGAGAGTCGCAAGGTCCTGAATGGCGCGGACTCGGCGGCCCAGCGAGGCCCCTTCCGGTGGGAGGCGGACATTAGGAGGCCAGGCGGGCGGAGGGGGGCGCAGGGCGAGGGCAGGGCAGGGTGCCTCCCGGGTCTTCAGAGCGGCCGGGCGGTCCCTTTGGGCCAAAGGCCCCAGCTGAGCATCCCGCTCTTTGTCCCCGGACGCCGGCCCCCTGCCCTCCGCCTGCAGGCCCGCCCGCCATCCGGTGCAAGTGGGCGGGCGGCGGCGGCCACTTCATCACGGTGACGCGGAATTCCCACCCGGCCTGGCTGGGGCCGAGCCGCGGGGCTCCCTCCTTGGCGCGTGGGCCGCCGAGGGCCCGGTTGAATTCCAGGGCCCTGGGGTGGGGCAGCTCTGTTCCCGGCCGCAGGAACTATTTCTAGCTGGCCTTTCCCTTGGGGTTCATATCCGCCAGGCTCTCCCGGAAAGAGGGGCCTCTCTTAATGCGTGGCCCGCGCGCGGCCGCGGGGGCCGGATCAGCGTCCCCAGGAGGCCTGGGACCTCGGAGCAGGCCCAGGGGCACGTGTGCCGAGCGTGGGGCCTCCACACCTCCGCTCCGCGGTCGGGGTCTGCGCCTCTTTCCCCTCCCCCGCCAGGCTGGGCTAGCGCTGCTCGGTGGGGAAAGGGACAGTGACAGGTCTGGTGCTAAGGCCTAGGGCGTGGCACTCAGAGGAGGCCTGAGGCTCCTGTCAGGGTCAGACAGTCCAGGAGTGTCCTCTCCCCTGCCCCTGCTGGCCCAGACTAAAATACCGGGCAGGCCACTCCCCCCTCTGCTGCTGGGAGCGACCGTTTCCTGCGCCGGAGGTCCTGGCGCTGGGGCGGCCAACGGGAGGGGTGGCGGGGTCCACAGTGGGCCAGGCCTGTGACCCGTGCCTGCCCTTCTAGCGGAGCCTCCTGCGGAACTTCTGTCCACCCGTCCTCCCGCCAGCCAGGTGAGTGCTGGGTGGGGCTGCACAAGTCCAGCTGTGGGTGTTGTGTCTGGAAAGGTGGCTCCGGGCGCTGCTGTCTGGTCCCACAGCCTCCCCCACCCTCCTGTGCCGTCACCGCTCCGGCTGGGGCGCCTTGGAGGAGGAGCAGGCCTGGGGCTGGCCCCTCGCCGGGGTTAGTGTGACTGCCCCCTTTCCAGCAACGAGGACACCCCAGGCCAGGGGTGTGCCTGCCAGCCCCGCCCACCTGCACCCGCCACTGTCCCCACTCCCCGCTCTGGCTGGGAGGGAGGCAGGCCTGAGGGGCCTCTGTTAACTCCACGTGGCTAGGTAAAGGGCAGGCTGGTCTGTCTCTGAGCGGCCTCCTCCCCTCTGATGGCCGAGGGTTCTTCCTGCCAGCCTGTGACTTGGGGCCTGGGGAATGCGGGGGGCGTGGCCGGCATGAGCTCACCCTAGGTGCCTGCTAGGGCTTCCTACCCTCACTGCCAGTGGGAGTGTGTCAGCCAGTGATGGCTGGGGGCCCTCTGTGCCTCCGTGCCCTGGGGTCTGGTCAGGGAAGCCCGGCCCTCCCACTTTCAGGGCTGCGGGGGCCTGGCCTCTGCCCTGGTGGCAGTGGGGGCGGGGGGTCCTGGGCTGCCCGGCCAGAAGGGGCTCTGGTTCACCTGCCCGCTCTCCCAGGGCCCCTGCCCAGGGCCCGCGGCTGCCTGGGCGTTGGAGTCCGTGTCCCCTCCTTCTGTCCCCACTGGGGTCTGGCCGCCCTCCCAGCCAGGTCCTGGTGGGGGGGCTCTCTGACCACCCCCCGCCCCCAGCTCCAGGATGGGCGAGTTCAACGAGAAGAAGGCGACCTGTGGCACCGTCTGCCTCAAGTACCTGCTCTTCACCTTCAACTGCTGCTTCTGGGTGAGGGGGGGCCCGCCTTCTCCCTGACCCTCCTTCTCCACTTGGCACCCGTCCCTGGTCCCCGAAAGGAGCGCTGGTCTGGGGCTCACATGTGCTAACTGACCGCTGTGTGCGGCCCACAGCTAGCGGGTCTGGCCGTCATGGCTGTGGGCATCTGGACGCTGGCCCTGAAGAGTGACTACATCAGCCTGCTGGCCTCGGGCACCTACCTGGCCACAGCCTACATCCTGGTTGTGGCTGGCGTCGTTGTCATGGTCACCGGCATCCTGGGCTGCTGTGCCACCTTCAAAGAGCGGCGGAACCTGCTGTGCCTGGTCAGCAGGGCATGGCGGGCGCTGGGGGTGGGGGTGCCTGGGGGGCTATCTGGGGCCGGCTCTGGGGCCCTGAGTGGGTTAGAAGGGACAGATGGGAGTCGAACGTGACACTGCAGCAGAGCCTCTGTTCACCTGGGGTGTCCCTCCCACGTGACCCGCCCTCCTGTGAGCCCCCAGCAGGGGGAGACACCAGCTCCTGGGGGAAGCCCTCACCTGCTGTCTGGACTCCCCACTCGGAGGCCGCTGGGAGCGGAGGGTGGGGACTCTGTTGAGCCTGGGCACTAGGAATCGTCACGGAATGGGGGTGTCTGTGTCCCCGCTCACTGTGTCCTTCCCCTACCCCAGTACTTCATCCTACTCCTCATCATCTTCCTGCTGGAGATTGTTGCTGGCGTCCTTGCCTACGTCTACTACCAGCAGGTGAGGGGCCTGGGCAGGCCACACGGGGACCCCCCTCCCCAAGCCACAGAGCTGACCGTTGTGCCTTCAGGCCCTGGCGGTGAGGGCTGGGTCACCAGAGGGGGGTGGTGTGTGCTGTAGGGGCTTCTGGGGGCAGGCGGTGTCCCTCGGAGCGGGCACTGTCCCCGCACCCGCTCCCCTGTGGCCGCCTGGTGGCTCGCCCAGTCCAGCCAGCGTCTGCGCCTGAGCGTGGCCCTTCCTTCCCTTGGAGGCCGCCCCACGCCTCTCCCAGCACCTGCTTCGCCCCTGTTCTGCCCCAACTTGGAGGGTCTTAGACTGTGGCTGAAGTTGTCACCACCTCACCCCAAGCTGAACATGGAACTCAAGGAGAACCTGAAGGACACCATGACCAAGCGGTACCGCCAGCCGGGGCACGAGGGCGTGACCAGCGCCGTGGACAAGCTGCAGCAGGAGGTGGGTGCGCGGCTCTGGGAGGGCCCTTACAGCGCCCGCAGGAGTCCGGTGCAGGGGGGTGGGTGGGGACTCAGCCCTCCCGCGTTCGCCCGCAGTTCCGCTGCTGTGGCAGCAACAACTCCCAGGACTGGCGGGACAGCGAGTGGATCCGCTCCGAGGAGGCGAATGGCCGCGCAGTCCCGGACAGCTGCTGCAAGACCATGGTGGCCAACTGCGGCCAGCGGGATCACGCCTCCAACATCTACAAGGTGGAGGTAAGTGGGCGGGGCCTGGAGCGCCCTGCGAGGGATGCTGGGCCTGGTGGCCACCCCACACCTTGGAGGGGCCTGGGGCCGCTGCCGGGGGCAGCTGGAGGACTCGCCTGCCTTCAGCGCCCCCACCCCCACCCCCACCCCCACCCGCCAGGGCGGCTGCATCACCAAGCTGGAGACCTTCATCCAGGAGCACCTGAGGGTCATCGGGGCCGTGGGCCTCGGCATCGCCTGCGTGCAGGTGCGGGCTGGGGGCGGGGCGGGCCCTGGCGGGGGCAAGGGGGTGGGGCCGAGGAGGCCGGTGAGCGGCCTCTCAAGCCGGCTCTGTGCCGCAGGTGTTCGGCATGATCTTCACGTGCTGCCTGTACAAGAGCCTGAAGCTGGAGCACTACTGACCCTGCCCGGGCCCGGCCCTGCGCATGCGCCGCTGCAGTTTCCCGCAGACCGACTACTGAGCTGACACTACTGATGGCCGGGGGCGGCGCCCCCTGGATGCTTTCCCTCTCCCCCCTCTGCAAGGGAGGTTGTTGTGTTCCCGTGCCCTCACCACCGTGCCATCACCGTGACTTCTGGGGACCCCCACCCCAGAGCGAGCGTCAAGTGCCTTTTGCTGCACACCAAAGTCCCGAGGCCTGAGGCAGGCAGGGTCTCCTCCAGCCGTGGGGGGCAGCACTTCTGCCCCGGGGGGTGGGGGGGCCTGGGCCGCAGGTGGGGTGATGAGGTTCTGACAATCACGTGCTCCATTCCCACAGGCCACCTCCCTGTGGGGTCCTGGGACCTCGGGCTGCACTCTGATGCCTGTGCTTAGCCGAAGGGCTGGGCTGGTCTGGGGGCTGGCCAGGCGAGAATGGGCTGGGCTGGCCGGCGCCAGGTGCCACCACAGCCTGCATGGTGGCCGGGCAGGCCCCGGAGGGGGTGGTGCGGGGGGGGGGGGGGCCGGGGATACGGATCAGCTGCCACCGAGGCGCTCGTGTGTCCTCCCCTAGGCTGGGTGACCATGCCCATGCCCTCGCCACCCCGCCCCCTGGGGCCCGGCCAGCCAGCCAGCCCTGTCCCCAGGGTCCCGTGCCTCTCTGACCCCTGGTCCCAGCTGCCCTTCTCTGCTGAGCCCGCCGCCTCCCCACTGCTCTCACCATCCCCGAAGAGGCCACAATGCTCCCTGCTGCCCTCCTTCCTTGGAGACAGGGGTTGGGGGGTCACTCACTGCTGTATTACAGATGCTAGAACTGCTCCTGTCACATAGCAGGTGTCCAATAAACATTTGCGTAATAGACAGTGGACTCACTACGTCGGTGAGAGGCGGTTCTGGTCCTCAGAGCCCTCCTGCCCAGCAGGGAGCACAGGGCCACCCCCCACCACCATGACAAAGGAGGGCATGTTCTGGGGGTCCAGGGCAGGCAGGTGTGAGCAAGGAGCTGACAGGACTCAAGGGGAGGAGGATGGTGGCCTGGGCAGCTGAGCACAGGCCTAGTGGCAGAACCTCACACCCGCTGGGTGCGGCCATGTGCAGGGCATGTGTCAGGCCCAGGGTCTGGCAGGGTGTGCGCTGTGAACTGGAGCCAGGGCTTGGCCACTGGACCTCTGCCCTGGTGGCTGCCTAGCTCCCGTCCCCAGAGCTTGGGCTTTCCACTGGGCAGACTCCATCTCAGATACCCGGCCAGCATGGCTGGAGAAGCTGCCTTCCTGAGCTGCGCGTCTGCCTCCTGCTGCAGAGGGCCCCCGGGCCTGTGTGGCCTCTGCACGGTCACAGCTCTGCCGGGGGGCCCACAGGACAACACGCTAAGCCCGGGGCCCTGGCCAGCCCTGCCCCCCAGCAGACCCTCTGAGCCACCTGCGATCTGCGGGGGGCCTCAGGGTGGGGGTGGAGGCCAGGCGCTGCCCCTCTGCTCTGCAGCAACTTGGGCAGGGGGAGGCCTCCGAGCTCATGTGGACACGCAGGAGGAGCAGCAGATACTCTATCCAGGGCCCAGAAAACCTCGTTCTTCAAATCCCAAGAGAGAAATCGGGGACCTCGGTGCTCTGCCTGAAGAGCACCCAGAACGTGGAGGGGCGATGCCAGCGCCCCAGTGCTCTCAGCTGCCTGTCTCTATGGGGCTGTGGGAACACCCCCTCCAGACGGGAACGCCCTGGCCGAGCAGCTGCTGTGGGGATGGCTCTCCCTCCTCCCGGGCAGCAAAGCAAGAGCTCAGTAGCCTCAGGCATGAGGCAAAACACAGGGACACGGGTGGCGGTGGGTCCCAGAAAGCCAGACCAAGTGTCAGGACCTCCTCTCGTTCTGCAAAGGCCTTTACTGGAGAGTTCCTTCCAGAGCAGGACACTGGTCCCCATGGCTGGGGCAGGCGTGGCCTCCGGCTACCCACACCCCCACCAGACCAGCTCCGCCCAGACACAGCCGCAATCCACAGGGTCACTTCTCCAGGGGCGCATAGTTGAGCAGTTTCTCGATCAGGTCCACGTGGGCCAGCAGCATGCGGCGGCAGCAATAGCGCTTCAAGCCCAGCGCATCCAGGGCATCCCTGCAGGCGGGAGGGAGCAGGGTGTGATTTGTTCTTCTCAACCCCTCTCGGGTGCTGTCGATCTCCCCTCAGCTCTGCTCCCACATCAGGGAGGGGGATGTCTCTCCAGAGAGCCTCCTGGCCCATTTCTCAAGCCAGTCAGAGCCCCCTATTTCCCTGGGACCCAGCCCATTCACCGAGGCCTCCAGAAAATCCTCACACTGTGGGCCCCAACATGTAGAGAGGGCATCTTGGGGAAGGGGAGGCCAGGCTGGGAGGTCCCTGCCTGTGGCACTGCCGAGAGGGGTCCTGTGCAGCCTACCAGCCCCCCAGGCTCTTGCTCTTGTCACTCCAGCAGCCTCCTGGGGTCTGGCACAGACACTCAGCCCATCCACGCTTCCCCTTCCCTCCCACGCCAGCGCTGACAGCCTGGAGTACGCCGGCACACGCCAGGCCCTGGGGGTGCAAATACAGTCAGGCTGTGAGCACAGGGCCAAGCGCAGAAACAGACAAGGCAGGAGCCTCCTGCTGACAGCTCTGTGGTCAAGAAGCTGTCCTATCCGAAAAGACAAGGGGGCTTGCAGGTCACGGGGGTGGACCCAAGAGCAGGGAGAAGAGATGAGAAGCAGGTGGGCAGGGAGGAGGCCGAGGGCTCAGCTGCGGTGGAGAGGCCCCCGGGCCTGATCAGAGAGTACCTAGAAACCCCCCACACCGTTGGCTTGATACCCAACTCCCTCCTTTCTCCAAACTTCCGAGGGTGGGGCGGGCAGCGCCCTCCCGAGAGGAGGGCTGTAAGAGACGCTGGGATTGAAAGCCCTCGCAGGGTAAACTGGAATCGGATCCCCCCCCCCCCCCCCCCCCCGCAGACCCAGACCTCTATCCACCCACCCCCTACTCCTCGTCTGTGCTCCGACCTCAGCCCCCGCTCCGCAGGCCGGGCCTCTACCCCCGGTCCCGGTCCCGGTCCCGGTCCCAACCTCTGCTCCGTGGGCCGGGCCCCCTACCCCCGTCCCGGCCCCAACCTCTGCTCCGTAGGCGGAGGCAACTCCCCCCCGGCCCCGGCCCCCACTTCCGCCCCAGCCCCGCAGGAAGGCCCAGGGACGCTTCCCCCTGCACAGCAGGCCCTCGCCCGTCCAGCCCGGTGCCTCACCCCTCGGTGTACTCGGCCTGCAGCAGCCCCAGGTAGGCCTCCCACTTGTTGCCGACGATCTTGCCGCACGTGAAGCAGCGGACGGGGATGATCATGGCGATAGCTGTTCCGCGGCTGCGCTCCGGCCCAGGCCACACTCCGGTTCAGGCCCCGCCCCGCCCCGGGCGCACCCAGGGCGTGGGGGTGCCCGCCCCCGCCCCCAGCTGCCCCCGGCCCTGCCGGCCAGCCCCCGGCGTGGTGAGCCTTCGCTGTCCGCTGCGACGAGCTTCCTACGAGCGTGGCTGGGGTCCCGGGGCCCGCGCGGCCGCGCTCGAGCAGGCAGCGGCCCCTGCCCGCAGCGTTGGTACGTCCCGGCGGACGGCGTCCTTGCGGGGCCTAAAGGGCTCGGCAGAGCGGTTCGCGTTTCTCGTGGTCGCTTGACTGACAGCTGAGCGGCGGGCCGACGGCGCGCGCAGGTACGGCATCCGCCTGCGGGAATGCCGCCCGAGCCCCGGCGCGCGCGGCACCCGAGCTGGGGCCAGACCCGGGTCCGGACCCGAGCGAACCGGCGTGGACTTCGAGCCCCGAGGCTTAGCGCCGAGCCGCGCCGCAGCAACAAGTGGCGGGGCGACCCCGCAGCAGGGCGGAGAGGGGTTGACCGGCGGCCCCGGGCGCGTCTTCCCGCCGCCGTCCCCAGCCATCCGCGAAGGGAGTCACTCGCCAGGAGCTCCGGCCCGCGGGCGCCCGAGGGTCTCTGCGGCTGAGTTCTGGGGTCCCCTCGGGGAACCGCCCGGCCCGCTCGTCTGCACGATATCGGCCCCGGCCCGGGAGTTAGTTACCTGTAGCCCCGACGGCGGGAGGGCGCGCTCAGCCGGTGGCCCCCCCAGCCCCCAGCCCCGCCGCGCCTTGTCCCTCCTTCTCGGGGCGGGGGCTGGGGGCGAGTGGCCGGAATGGGCCTGCGTCTGCCCCAGGCCAGACTGTGCCGGGTCCCCGCGATCCGAGGGCGGGAGCGGGGCGGAGAGGGTGGCCAGGGAGGGCGTCGCCGAGAGGCGCCTTTTCACCCCCGCGGAGCCCACGGTGTCACCCCTGAGTGTGTGGGGACCAGGGCAGATCCTGGCAGAGCGCCTCGGCAGAGGCCGGGAGGGCGCGTACCTGCCGGGTGGCTCTAGGAGACCGGTTTGGGTGAGGGTCAGGGTAGGTGGTGGAGCCCGAGGTGATGGGGCAGGAACACGGAGGATTTAAAGGGAGGGGAGGCTGTGTGTCTGGAAATGGGAGGGGGGGTGTGAGCCCCGTGATGTTGGGGCTGGGGCTGGGGGCAGGCTTTGCGCAGGGAAGGCCCCCTGCCAGGGGGGAGCTTCGGGCTGTCGGGTGTGGATGTGCTGCTGGTGGCACCACGGCTCTGGGCGAGGGCAGGCTCGCTGGCCTGGGGTATCTGGAGCTCTGGTTCGGTCCCAGGTGTTGGCTAATTGTCCTCTCAGACATTAGCTGGGAGGCAGGGAGGCCCAGGGTGCCCTGAGCCCAGGATCGAGCTGGCCGGAGCTGCTGCCTGCCTGGAACTTGTGCCTCTGCTTTTGCCTGAGCTCTGGACCGCTTCTCCAATGGCATTTGCCATCCCCCACCCTGCCACGTGCAGAGCCACGAGCCAAAGCCACTTCCCTTTGCTGACACCCCTCACTCCCCCCCCCCCACTGGACGCACATCCTGTTCCTGGCCAGAGGGGCAGGATAGGGGCCTTGAGTCACAGTGGCCCGGGGTCAGACCCAGGCTCAGCTCCAGAGGCTGCGGGAGGCTGTGGAGGTGAGGGGGGAGACTGGGAGAGCGGCCGGGATGTTCGCTGGGTGGACCTTGGGGAGTGGGTGGGGGCAGAAGGCTTCCTGGAGGAGGGGCCCAGGGCCTGCCCCACCAGGGCTCCTGCCCCCACCAGCTGTTTACTCTGCAAGAGTGAGGGAGCCTCCCGTCCTGGTCCCGGCCTGGAGCCAAGTTGGCGTTCCTGGAATTCTGAGCGCTGTACGTAGATTTGGGGGCAGCAGCACCGTCCTCCTCATCCCCGGCTCCGCCCCTCGGCTCCCTAATTTCCCAGGAGAGGCCATGGGGAGCAGGGTGGCTGCCCCATTGCCCCAGCCCCTGTGCCTGGCTACCACACACAAGGGCGCGGGGGCCGCTAGGGGCACGGGGGGGCAGCCAGGCCTCCCAGCTCACCTCCGCCCCGGCTGGACGGCAGGACCCCGCGGAGCCTCCGAGGTCAGCCCTGCCCCCACAGCCTGGCCCTGAGTGGCCCTGTGTGTGGAGCGCGGGCTGCGGGTGAGCAAGCTCAAGTGAGAGCCAGGCTCTCTTCTGGGTGGCCGGGGGCAGGAGGGAGCCCTGGTGGGTGGGGGGCGTGCTCCTTGCCTACAGCCTCAGGGGGCAATGGCAGCAGAGGAGCGGCCCAGCCTCCGGGGAGGGCCGCAGGGCGAGGCGCAGGTTTTCCAAGAATCCGTGTCCTGCTCCCAGAGATCGGGGGCGTGAGGAGAGAGAACTATGCTTACATGTGGTTTGGAACTCAGGAGCCATGTTCCCTGCCAGAAGGGGTCACTTGAGGGCAGGAAGGAGACAAGGGGAAATCAGAAGTTTTAGCTGCTGAGACTCTAGCCCTGATCGTTGTCCTGGAAACAGGCCCCGCCCACCGGCCGGGCCTCCGAAGCCGCGGGCTGGGGTCCTCCCCAGGCTGGCTGTGCAGACTTGGGGACCCAGGCTTGGCCGCGGCCACATTGGTTGTGGGTACATGTGTGCTCGCACAGGGCGCGCAGAGCGGGGTGGGGTCCCCTGAGCCAACCCGATCCGCCGCCTGCTGCGCCCACACCCAGCCCTGGGGGCCGGCGAGCGAGGAGTGCTGGGGTTCGCAGGTGTGCTCGCTCCCGAACTGGCCCTCCGCCTGTGGGGGCACCTGGGCCCACAGCGTGTGGGAAGGTCGCTGTCTGCTGGCCCAGCCCAGCGGCCTGTGGGTCCCTGAGGATCCTGCTCGGTAGGAGTCCGGGTGGCACAGGGGAGTTTGCTGAGGTGGGGTGAGCATACAAGGGGCGTCTGAGTCAGGGTGCTCCCAGGGCCTTGGTAGGTGGGAAGGCGCCCTCCTCTCCCCTCCAGCCCTAGCTGCATCCCCTCCACCTCTGCCTCCTGTGTGGCCTCCGGCAGAGGAGTACCTGAGGGTGGGGGCAGCAGTGGGGATGGGGTGCGTGGGGAGCCCTGAGCTTGGGATGGCCTGGGTGGGCCCAATGGGAGAAAGGAGGCCCTTGGCGGCCTCTTCCGGGGACCCCTCCCTTGGAGTGGGTGTCTCCCAGCCCCGGGGGCTGTGGCTTGCGTGGGGAGACAGCCCTGCCTGGGCCCTGCTTGTGGTGTGGAGGGGGTGCCACCCGCGTTTGCGAGCCCCTCCCCCAGGCCAGGGCCTGGGTGGGCGCAGGATGGAGCAGGGGAAGGCGACGCCACAGGCCTGTTTGTGTTGGCTGGGCCCTCCCTGCTGGCTCCTCAGGGCTGCCTCAGAGCCGCCTGGCCTGCTCCCCACCCTGCTCGGCCCCTGCTGGGCTGTGTGCTTGGCCAGGCCCTGCTGCAGGCCACCGCTGGGGCCCTGGGCGGGCCACTGGCAGTCCATCACCCGGCTGCCACCCAGGCCTCCTGTTTCGGCGTTGGGGCAGGTCCTCTTCTGAGTGGGCCTTGGTCTGCCCAGGTAGGTGCCCGCAGTCTCTGTGCGGCTCACAGTGCCCCGGGGTCCCTCACGGAGCCCAGCCCGGGCTGGCAGGCGGGTGTTTGTCCTGGGCTCTCCCTTGGCGCTGTCCCTGTTGCCTGCCGTGTGTGCTGTCTTGGGGGACACAGGTCTGTGGGTTCTTGCCCTCAAAGGAAGCCCAGGGTGGGGAGTGGGGCAGGGAGGCTTCCTGGAGGAGGTGGCTGGGCCTGGCTGAGGGAGGGGAGTGGCCCTGGTCCCGTCCTGCGCCTGCCCCCATGCCGCCTGCAGGGCTGTGTCTGAGCTGCCCAGGTGGCGTGGGGGCTGGAAGGCCTGGACCCGGAGGTCGTTCCCAGAGGGCTCGGGGCTGCCGTGGGTGGGGCTGGGGGCGCAGTCTCCTTGTGGCGTTGGCCTCGGTCCTGATGCCTGGGGCCCAGAAGGGCCGCAGGGCGTGAAGGACGCCCAGGCGGTGACCCCCACCCCTTCCTGGTCTGGGGGTGGGGCACACGGGCCCAGCCTGTGGCCTGTGGTGGGACACATGGTTTTTAGCTTCTGAAACGTTGTGGGCTCTGGGCTCTGTGGCCCTGGGGAGGGGGGCTTGTCAGAGATGGGGGAGGGGCAGGACCACTTGCCTTTGATACCCTGGGCCTGAAACTCCTCCACAGACAATTTTTCCCAGGGCATCAGGACAGCCGGGGGGGGGCGGGCTGGGGGCCCCTGGCCCAGGCCCATCCTCACTCCCCCTGGGGCAGGTGCTGTCCATACCCCCCCAGTGAGGTGGGGGGTGGGCCTCAGGTCGTCTGCAGGGATGGGGCAGCCTTCCCTCCGCAGAGCGCCCACTGGCCAGGGCCCGCCCAAGGGCCACCTCGGGAACGCTGTGCCGCCTCACTTCTCTCCGCGGAAAGCCCAGGCACCTCACAGCCTGGCCGGGCAGTGGGGAGCAGATCTGGCTGCTTCCTGGGTTCACCCACTCCTGGCCCCCGGCCTTTGCCGTCTGGGTACTGCTGGGCCTGGCGCAGGCGACGAGCCAGAGGCTGCCTCCTGAGCGGGCTGGGTCGGGGCCCCACCTGCTGGAGGAAGGGGGCTCCTGCGGGGGAGGCGCTGGGCTTTGGGGACAGGGTTCCTGGGGAAGGCCCCGTCGGCCACAGTCCTGGTGCACCTGGTCCGCACTCCAGTTGAGCCTATTGTGCTGGGCTGGGTTTTCTGGCTTCATCTCAGACACACCTGTTCACCTGGCGCGATGGGCGTTGGGTTTTGTAGCTGGGAGCGGGCATGGCAGGACTTTCAGCGGACCCAGGGACGGCGCTGGCTAAGCGGGGTGGGACGGAGGGCGTCCTGGGTGCTGGGCCCAGGGAGGGGACCCTGCTGACGCCCCCACTGCCCCTCGCAGCCCAGCCGCCGGGACCTCCCTCTTGTCCTCAAGGCCCCGCCAGCCCCGCGTTCCCCACCCACCTCTGGCCCCAGTGCCTTCAAGGA